AAAAATGCATAGCATTTTCTGTATGAATTGGACTTTTATTTGACCATCATTGACCTCATCCCTTATTTTCTCCCTACCTCCATCTTATTAGTATGGAACAATGTTTACAAAATTCAGCCAATTTGGACATCAAATTGACGCGCAGCGGCCATGGCCAACATTTCTGCACATAAAGTTGGACCAAAGAATGACGAGAGCGTTATAATCGTTCATTCATGAAAGAAAAATCAAAAGATACACATCTATTTTGATGTGAGCCATCAAAAGGCAAATAATATCATAAAAGCCATAGTAATACAAAAAAGACCCATCAGCTCTGAAAGTGCAAAACCAAGAAGAGCACATGAAAACAACTCCATTTTGAGCTTTGGATTTCTGGCATATCCAGAAATGAGAGCAGCAAAAACACTCCCGATCCCAGCTCCTGAACCGGCTGCCCCAATCGTGGCTGCTCCAGCTCCTATGTACTTCGCTGCGCTGTCTACATCCTTATTTGCCGAAGTGGTATGGAGAAATCGGGAAGCCAGCACTTTTTCTGCTCGGAAAATAGGAAAAAGTCGCATAGTGGTAGTAATACGGGAGAGGGGTAAGACTAGGCGTTGACAGTACATGTTTACCTAGAAAAAAATTAAATATGGTTGAATATCCTCAATGAGCGCGTGTTACCGAAAAGCAGTGACATCGAAATTCACCCTCAAAAAAGTGGAAAATCGGCAGTGATTTTTATAAGCTGGGAGAAGGTGAGAGGTTTCAAGCGTGGTAGCATGGCTTTTTGATTGCGTGATATAGGTAGCTTAAAAATATGCATATAATTTTGTTAAGAGTTTTTAATACTTGAGAAAAAATCATCAGCGGCATATCAGGAGTAAGAATGAAGAGGAACACTTCAATCGTATTTTACAACTTTTCTAAGAATTCTCGAAAAGAAAGTTACTTTGGCTCAGTGGAAGTTACCTCGGCTTCGATTATGGTTTTCATCTCTTCTCTTTTCTCAGAAAAATCGTATGA